GAGAGAGAAAGCCTCACTCGATCTTACGCCACGTGTACTTAATATCTAATCTAACGGCTCTCGTGTTGAATGCTATGGGCAAACCTGTGGACTCTATGACTCTGTACCATAACCATGGACTCCTCAAAACGATGCCGTTTATCAGAAGCTTGCGTGATGAAATGACACAGAAGGAAAAACGATAAACTGCAAAAAGATTCAAAAGCTTCATCAGATGCAAACAAAAAATTCTCTGACAATTACAACATAAAAAAAAAAAATCTATCTTCGTTTTTTTTCTTCTCTCTTCACGAGAGTGACTTCTCCATTCGTTAAATCTGAGATTGTTTTTGCTTTTCCTCGATTGATTACGGTTTTACTCTCTTCTTCTGGTTAGTTTTTTTTTTTGAAATTGTTGATGATGGTTCCGACAATTTATGTCTGATTTTGTGTATGTGTGTGTGTTCTATGGGTTTTATAATTTAGTTCAATTTCTGGGTTTTGTTTAGTTATTGCAAAGAATGATGATTTTGGTTGGTAGGTATGATTATGAATAATAGTTTGCTTAATTTTTGACCAGAATCTTGGCTCTGATTTGTTACCTTGTAAAAAAAATTAGGAACTAATTCTTCAATTTCCCTTAAAGCAAAACATCAGATTCTCTTAAGCTTTTTTGGTGATAGATCTTGTCTTTTCTTAGAGGTTATTTAGACATCAGAAAGATTCTTCCTTTATAACATTCTATAAATTGGAATCTAAGATTTGCTAATTTCTGAATCACATTGATCTTTGAATTTATTGGTTTTTGTATCCTCAATCTCTTGTCTTATTACAGAGTTATGGTGAAATAATGGCAGCAGCAGAAGCAAGAGCAGTGTGGCAAAGAACAGTGAACCGTTGTTTTGTCCAAGAAGATGCTAAAAGAGCTCCAAAGTTAACAACTTGCTGTCAATCTTCATCATCAATTGCTTCATCAACTAAACAAGTAGAAGAAGATTCTGGATCTTCTCGAGTTCTTCGTGATCCACAGAATTGCCAATCATCTTGTGCAGGTTCCATCATGCCTCTTCATCGAAACCCGAATTTCACCGATATGTTACCTTACAACAACACTCGACTGTGGAATCATCATCAAGTGAAGAAGCCATTGGAGTCTGAGGTTAATAATATCTCTGAGAACAAGCTCGAATTTATCGATTTGATCGAAACAAAGGAAAGTTATGGTTCATTTGGGTATGATGAGTCCTCTGAGAAGAAGTTAAATGAGCCAGCTTTCGATCCGAGCTCTCCGTGGAATCCTCTATCGAACGAGAAAGCTGGACCGTGGTGGCGAACTACTGATAAAGATGAGTTAGCTTCCTTGGTTGCACAAAGGTCTCTAGACTATGTTGAGAATTGTGATCTACCAACACCGCAGAAGATGAAACGCTCTTATTACGGTAGTCCACGTTGTTTCGACTCTGATGGATTCCGGGATTACTCTGTCTCTAACCAAACCATCCACGAGAACGCGACAAGCAGCTGCAAGAACAGAACCGAGGCTTCGTCTGAGACTGAATTAAGCAAATATGAGTTATTAGAAGCGCTGAGGCGTTCTCAAACACGAGCTAGGGAAGCGGAAAACATGGCTAAAGAAGCGTACGCGGAGAAAGAACACTTGGTGAAGCTCTTGTTCAAGCAAGCATCAGAGCTTTTCGGGTATAAGCAATGGTTAAAACTGCTTCAGCTCGAAGCACTTTACCTCCAAATCAAGAACAAGAAGTTTGAGAACAACAAGGAGCCACAGGTTTCGATCCCTTGGAGCAATTCGAAAGTGAGAAAACCGGGGAGAAAGAGAAGAAGCAAGAGGGCTAAACCGAATGCAGCTAAGTACGCGGTTGGTTTAGCTTTGGGGATGAGTCTTGTTGGTGCTGGTTTGCTTCTTGGATGGACTGTTGGTTGGATGCAGATGCTATCTTTCTAGAAGAGAATATGTGAAGAAAAGAGGAGAGACCTCGAAAGGGGTTTTCAAAAAGTTTCATCTTTTTCTCATTGAGTATCTTTGATGATGATCTTGGAAATGAGTTTGAGATATGCTTCGAATTTGCAGCTTTTGGATTTCGTTAATGAGAATGTAAATTGTTTGTAAGAATTTTGTTAATATTCTGTTTCTAGTTTGATCTTTTACTTTAAATATCATATGAAATTAGCTTTCATGTAAAGTATCTTGCATGTAATATATGATCTTTCTTTCATATCATTTGTCTATGTTTTGGGGATCAAGTGAAATTTGAAAGACTTATTTTATGTAATTTATATATTTAATTTTTTGGTTGAATATAAAAATTACAAGACAAATATTAGAAACTTTATAATTTCATGAGAAAAGTTTTGTTCTTCTTGTCTCAAAAAAAAAGAATTTTCAATGATAAAAGATTTTTGATGCATTTTTTCTAAAAATGACATAATTGCTCAGCCCGTGGGCTATAGTCTATGACAATCGGCCCATTTCTGATAAAATCAATTTTCACAAAAAAAAAGTTTCATTTAATTACGTGGCAAAAGTGATTATTAACTAGAACATCTTGGCCGGATA